TCATAGGAGGCATCATTGGTATTAGTAATAAAGTGACCACCATTTCCGGCCTTAGCAGTGTCCGACGCCTATAAGCAGTGGCTATTGCTCGAATTTGGGAAAAAACGGATACCATTTCTCTAATTTTACTATCAAGACAATAAACCCTTATGCTGTTAAGTTGTAATCTATTTTCAAATGCAAAATTAGAGAAGTTTAGATCCATGCAACTGAAAATGAAATGCGGGAGTAAACAAAACAGTTATTAGTACAAACGAGAAAAATCTGATGTGGACACCATATAAAATTCTTTTACGGCCTATTAAATTATAGACTAATTTTGCTGCATTTCATTTAAACATATTTCATCAGAGATATATTTCTCATTCAATTAATTCAGTGGTAAAAGTTTAAAATTGAGCGCCCTATTTGGCGATTTTTTCTGATGCGAAGATTGGCGCCAGGAAGGCAAAATTTCAAAATGACCGCTACACAAAAACAAAATAAGAAGTCAAAGAATTGCGCATACTCGGTGCCCATGTACACATCGATCTATTTTCACTTAAAGAAATTCAGAGAATTGCTCAAACTCGGCACTGCGCACTGCCTTGACTTTGTCCATGTACACATCGATCTCTTTTCACTTAAAAATCAGGAAGCCAAAACCAAGTTAAAATTATCATGGCAACAAGAAAATTGGCTTACCACCAAATGTGAATAAAGTTTAATACAAATCGAAAGGGCACTCAATCCTACACTAGAGTCAACTCAAATCACACTTCACAGCAAGGAACAAATACTTAAAAACGCAAAACAACTTCGATGAAAGTTGTAAAGTACAGAAAAACCTGAAATACCAAATAGATTAACAAACTGTTAAAAAAAAAAAAAAAAAAAATTTATAATTAAAATCTCAAAACAAGCTATTTGACCAGCGTGCAAAAAGACAGAGTTTTCGGCGAACAAAGCTGATGTTTACTTTTTGTCCCACTTGGCGGAAATACACTGAAGTTGGCGCAGAAACTAATTCAATTCACTATTCTACTAAGCGTTTCAAATGTAAACAAATGACGGCTTCGTTAGGCTTGGAAGCTCACAACTTTTAAATTGTTGATAACCCTACAACTATTACATGCATATTAACTAAAGACCTAAAAACATTAACCGGAACATAAGAACAATATAATTCAATCAATTTAAACCAAAAATGCACAAATTACTCACATAGAAGAATACAAATACTGTGCTCAACAGACTGGAAATATTAATTTAGAAGTCAAACAGCAAAAATCAGCGTCAAAATTTGCAATTATAACACTGATTTCTGTTGTTTGATTTCTAAATTAATACATGTTCGGCGTTATATGAATATATACCTTTTGTACGCCCGATTGCAAGGGTGGTGCATAACTCCATGTCATAGCAGTCCCATGTACAAAATTTCAACGTTCTGAGGTTACTCGTCTTTGAGTTATGAGAGCTACATACATGCGTACGTATGTATGTATAGACGTCACGTGTGAGATGTGACGAAAACCGTCACGAAAAAATCATTTATGGATCTATTTTAAATTCATTTTATAATCTCTTTTAGGGAAAAGTGTCATTTATTCTGTCCTTACGTATCGATGTCACGCAAAAAGCATCGTTGAAATGGATTCGAGAGCAGTCAAAATGGGTATTATACCCAAAATTTTCGCTTTTGCAATACTTTCTTTACCTAGTACAAGGCAGTAAATTTGTCCGCTAGATTATTTTACCGATTTTACTTTGGCAGTCAGCGTGATAACTGAATGAAACTCCTATCGCTTTAATAATTTTTTAATCGCTAACCAATTTTTTAAACAACCAAAATGAAATACTTGTCGTAATGCTTTTATATGAAAGTGTTGTCCTTCAAAGCACAGATCAGATACCAATCTAAATACTATAGTCAAACAAATTTTGCAAGTTCACATATATTCAACTAAAAATTTCTAGGCTTGTAAGTAATTTGCAAAATTGGTGTTCATCCAGTGAAAATTACTTCTTTTAAGAGATAATTAGTATAAAAACCAACATAGAATACATGTATAAAAATACATCCTGCCATCCAACTAAACGTAATTCCATCAACCCCAATTCTACAAAATAAAAATCAATTTCGGAACAGCGAAAGAATCTCTTCGCATTTCATCACTCTGTAATTATCCGAAGATGGAATCTCAAAGTGTTTTGTTTACTCTTGGGAGAAAAAAAAAATAAAAATATTTAGCATTCTGCATATTAGACCTTAAAGAAAATATATTTGACAGAAGTTTCACGCAAAGTGTTCTCACGCATTTAAAGTTAATACGCATTATTAGTTATTTTGTAGCTATGTAAATAATTTTAGTGAAATTATATGTAAAACTGTAGTACTTCTTGTAAAATGTATAGGCATAAAACATAATTAGTCATATTAAATGCTGTAATTTGTATCTAAGGGTTATAATTGCATTCAGAGGTAATGCAGATATTGTTTTATTCTTTAGCACAGAAAAAACGAAAAATGGAGTCTGAAATACTTTACTTCTTCCTTTGTACTTCCTTGAACGAAGTAAAGGAAGTATTTTAATCGTAAAAAGTTTCAGGTGTCTTAATTTAGCGAAAATATCCCATTTTAACCACGTACGTACATCTGTACGTACGGACAGAATAAAGGAATATTTTTCCCGAAAAGGATTGTTTGTTGGTTTACGCGATTGCGAAAAGCCTCGAGGGCTACTGTTTAACGGGATGGCTGCCTTTGTGGAGAGCTTTTTAAACAAAATGGATTGTAAAATAGATTTAAAATGTATTCAGAAAGGTTTTTACGTGGCGTCAGTATGTGCGTACGTACATTTATATGTATCTCACACTACTCAAAAACCAGTACCCTACTAACGTAAAATTTTTGCATATGGATGTGGAACTGCTATAATATGTAGTTGTACACCTTCCTTTTTGGTTGCACTCGGTCCCACAAACTTACATATATACATATATCAATATATATATATATATATATATATATATCCACCTCGTTAGCTGGCTTAGAGAGCTCTGTATTTTGTATTCTCTTATAATGCCAAATTGTGCATTTTGTGCTTTAAAAGTGATTGACATATGCTAATCTTCAACATAAATCAATCACTTATATTAATCCCGTTAAGGTTTTATCGCCGGTTAAGGTTTTTATAGATTTAGTTAATCTGCGTGCAATGGTTGTAGAATTATCAACAATTTAAAAGTTCTTTATGTAGTACTAAGCCTAACGAAAGCGCCAATTTGTTTACATTTGAAACTCTTAGAATAGTCGATAAGGTCTAAAGGACTCTTAGTGAACTAAGTCAGGTTTTGCTCCAACTTTGGTGTCTTTTTGCCGAGTGGGACGAAAAGTAAACTTTCAGTTTTTACTCAAAAAAATCCGAGCTGTATTTTGTGCTTTATGTTTTCCGTATTTTACAATTTTTAATTCTTTTGAGTTTTTATGTATTTTTTCCTTGCCATGGTGTGAGAACTGAGTTAATTGGATAAAATTGTTTTTTTGTCATTAGCCACTGCTAAGAACAGAAGTGGTGGCCATTTTTTTGGAGGCATCTAATAGGCGGTCATCGTTATCTTCTATAAAGGGACAGACTGGGCGGATTGAATGAGAAATATACCTGTAATGAAACTCGATGAAATAAGTTTAAATAAAATGCACCAAAAAATGTGTACAATTTAATAGGCCTTACAAGGAAGTCATGTATGTGTATGTGATTATGGCAAAGCCTCGAGAGCTATCTGCCTAAAGGGAGGGATGCCTTCATGGAGGACTTTCTAAGGTAAATTGGCTGGTTTACATGTTATAAATTTAGAAAACAACGAAAACGCCCATGCAGCCAGCCCGTTCGTGGGATTCGAACCTCGGACCGAACTACCAATGTTCAGCGACCTTACCGCTCGGCCGCTGGTTGGCAGGAAGTCATGTGGTGATGATTTTTTTTTATTCTGAACTGAGCAGCCAGGGAAGTGTGTTAAACTTTAAGAAGTCATCGGCTTCGGAATCTCCGTTTTATGCAGCGCATTTTCTTTAATGTTCTTTGGTACTGATATGGATGAAATCTATATTCTTTATTACACACCTTTTTTCCTATACAGTCTTTGAAAACACTATGTCCTGTTAAACGAAAATAGGTTCAAGTGCAAATCTGAACCTCGACTTACCGCTTCTCGTCAGTGCGACCTCTTACGTAATTTAGGTGCGTTACTCTAGAAGATCTAAAATAGTGCGTTTGTAAACCTGTATTAGTATGACATATAGCCTGCATTAGGTATACCCTTTAGTGTGTATTTTGCTGCATTTCATTTAAATGGTATTTTCTTTCTCCTTTCCGTATGCGTTTACCGTGTACCTGGAATTCCGCTCGACGCATATTCGGGAAGTCAGAAGTTCGAATTCGGGAAGGATAATTTTCGATTTATTCAATTTCCTGACTTCGAGAAATTGTAAAAGTCTTTACAGATGGTGCCCGAACTAGAAGATAGTGGACGATAATTCGTCACCACTGGGGTTTTGTGTTTGGGTCCCATAATAATCAGTCCCTTTATAAAGGGGGAGTATTATAAGGTATTTTTTCTCACCTTTCCGCATGCCTTCGTAGCGTAGCTTGAAGCAGGTTCGGTTTTCGAAAGGTCTCGATTTCGAATGCAGGTGAGGCATTGTGTATTTCTTCAGTTTCCTCACATCGAAAAATTCTAAAATCTTCCTAAAATTCTATGTGCATAATATGCAATGTCCTGTATAATTGTATTATACAATAAAATTTCATAACATATTTGTGATGGATCACACATGATCTTGATTAAATTCGGTTCCCCTTGTCTCCAGAAATTTAATTGATACAGTTTGGCATTTTCTTTAAACATACCAATGAATATAACACAAAGTAAAGCTAAAAGCTCGGCAAAGTGATCATGAAACGGAAGACAACATAACATATACTGTGAGACTATAAAAATAAAATAGCAATGTATACCTTTCTGCGTTCTTCTTCTTTTTACTTTTATGGATATTACGATAATGATGGCAATGATCACCAAGGCAACTACCACTCCGATGAGAATGCCTAACACTGGTCGAATGATGATGATGCCTTGCATTCCTGAAACGACAATAACTGCAATTAATCATATGATACATTATCATCATCTATCTCGTGGACAATATTTCCTGCTATTTTTTCTATTAGTAGAAGACGGTCATCTCGCAAAGAGAACAGTTACGTTATTTAGTACTTACAGAATGTCGGGTGGTACACGAACTTCTGTACTTTATCATTATATGTGATCAAAATCAATGTAGTAATTTAGTAGAAATAAGAAGGGAATTTTTATGCCATCTTTTAGGTTAAGAAAGGCAATCAATTTGATTGAAAACTATCAAAAATAAATTAATATTTCTAAAATGGGCTGATGTTTTGATTGTGACAAGTTACTTAGTATACGATGGCAGTATCATTAAAAATAATAAAATGCAATGATTGTAAATATGCATGTTTAAAAACAAAATGCTTAGTTAAAATGCAAGTGCTATGTTTGTGATTTTATAGTCTACCAGCTGTATCATCGTATGTAAACTCTGTATGTAAACTGGATTACCAAGCAAAAGTATTTAGAGCCCTTTTCATGTATCTTATGTGCGTCGTTTTAAATTAATATTTATTCTATAATAGACTTCAGTTACTTGAAAAATGTTTAAAATAGGATATAAAATTACTTAATGAAGTTAAATTAATACTAAGCTCGATATAACATGTTTTGCATAATAAATACTTTTAAGTAAATTATCTGATATTTTTGTTTTCTGAAGTTAGGATTACAAGAATCATAAATATAAATCTTGACCCACGAGGATAATTTTTGTTATTTTCTTTATTTTTTACCAATTATTTTATAATTTAGGCCAGCGATTCTCAAGCGGTGGTACGCAAGAAAAACATAGGTGGTACGCAAGAGAAAATAGGTGGTACGCAAAGAAATAAAGTATTACAACTACTGAATTCGAAAATTTCTTGAAGAAAAGTAACAATTGATAGAAATTTTCTGTGATTGAACTCTAACTGAAGATTTTCAAAATAATACACTTGTTAACTTTAGCCTGAACCAAAAAGAAGAATTTAAAGTAAGTAATTCAAATAAAGCTATTAAATTTTTATTGCCATTTTGCATAAATTATTTGTGTGAATAGAAGCCCGGTAGCGCAGTGGCTAGCGCATCAATAATTACATGTTTTAATTTTTACTTTCACAATTGTAATATTATTCTTCGTGATGATTTAACTCCAGTCCCCGTTAAAACATTATTAACATTTTGCTTTCAAATTACTTCAAAACATCTTTCAAAATATAACTTACCAGTATGGATGCACACTTTTAAAATAATTCTACTTTAATTAAACTTAGGAGATAATATAATCAATTAATCAATACGGTTTAGGAAATAAATTATTATTAACTAACTTTGCAGCAATTGCGCAAGTAATAATAACTTGTATTCGCACTAAATGGATTTAAGTTCATACAACATTATATATATATATATATATATATAATAAAAAGTATGCTTTGTTAACCTTTCTGCAAACAAACAAAACTTGCGAAATAGATATAAACTTAATAATAGCAATACTACTTATAAACTACTAATAATATAATTGTTGTTATAAAGTAATACTTAATAACAACAATAAATGCATTAAGCAGTGTTTTCGAAGAATAACGAAAATATGCTCATTATAAAAAAACTGCCCTATAAGACAGATTTAATTAGTAAAAAATAGATGGAAGTGTTACTAAATATAGCACCGAAGCAATGAGATAATTCTAAATATATCAATTATGCTCGGAACTTGAATAAATGTATTTAGTGAAAAAATAACATGCCTGCCCTCGACAAGAAATAATTAAAACTTTACGTTAAAAAATTAATTACTCATTATTTAAAGAAATTTAGTATAAAAATAATAAGAAGATTTTTTTTTTAAATTTAATATCACAGGTTTCATTTAAGATTTAGAATAAAATATCGCTGATACGAAATCATCATTATGGTCGCTTATCATCTAAACCCATTGATAAGAACTTGCACAGAATAGTTTTTATTTAATGTTTTTATATGTGTTAATTTAATTTTTGTGTCTGGTTCCTTTACGATTTTAATTAAAATCTATCAATTTTTAATTTAACGATTGATTAGATTGGGCTTTAATTATTTTTTAATGTTCTTTTCGTATTAATAAGTACGTAATTTTTCTCTGGTGAGATGCATTTTATTCAGGATGCTGAATAATATTTGAAAATTCTGCAAGCTTTTTTATCTAATTGAATCTGATTTATATTTTTGTAGTGAATTACTTTAAAGTGCATCTGAACTATAATTTTACAAAATTTGTGTTCATTGTATAAAATAGGTGAACTACTTTTCATGTTTCTATTTGCTTATTTATTGTTTAAACAGTAAGTTTACATTTTTACTGAGTAGTTAACATTTTTGAGAAAGCAGGTTTCGCAATCGATTATGTCACTGAAATTACTATTATAATGCACACATTTAAAATAAGCGAGTGTACATACGAAAATATAATAATAGCAGTTTAAAGTATTTCCATTATTTTATTATTTATTGAAGCTGAGTAATAATGCTAATGACCCATAACGATGCTTTTATAGTCCATGATACTTCTTTTATTTCACAGCAAAAGCTTAGAAAAATCTGACAAAATTTATTCTCAGTGCTAGCTGAAACACAGAAATAAAAGATGGAAAATTTTTATTCGATTTAATGTATTACGCAAGCAATTGTTAGTATTAAACTTTAAAATAGAGAGATATATAAGGGCTTTCTAGCATATATTCTGAAAATATACTCAAATTTGTTATTTTATATTTCGATAATGCAAATTATTGAGTTACATTTTGCTATATTAATGCAAAGAACAAAACAAAAAAACTCTTCATAAATCTATGAGGACGGATGACTGTTTATATATATTTAAAAATTATTATGAAAGAAAATGAACTACATTTATCGTTTATTAGAACTTAAGCTTTCGATTTTTCTTGCAGCAACATCCAAAAATATAAGTTAACTTTGCTATTTTCTGAACAAACTACTCGAATAGGAAACGATCCAAAATTTCACATCGGTTTTCTTGAACGCTATTCTGAATTTCTGCAATTTCTCAAATTATACTTGCAACATGAATCTCCTAACTTCGTTTTTCCTGACTTTTTATTCCTCCAATAATTTCGTTCAGCTGACTTCCTTCTCCATTTTCCATAGAAATTCCGGTTTTAACGTCGCCACAGCAGAAAAATGTTACCCAACGTGCATACCGTATATCTTTGCGTGTATTTCCCCCCTTGCTTTTAAGTGCTAAGTGCGCATAGAATATACATGCCGCAAAACCGGTATAGTGGTTAGCATAGCGGACTGCGGGGCCAAAGAGCCCGGGTTCGTATCCCAGAGAAGATATGGATGTTTAGTAAATGTATAGTGTCCGTGCAGCATGGGGCACTCTAAATATGCGGGGAGCCGAAAATTCTCTCGAGAGATTGTATGTAGGGGAAGAGGGGTGGGAGCCTTTGGAACCCATCCATCAGGGCATTTCCAAATCACATTCTCAAAGACTTCACCGTTGTCAAATTTTAAAAAAGTCGCCTGAGCGAAAAAATGTATTCTAGTTAGAGTATCTTGTCGAATTAGTTTACATAAATATGCTTAATAACTCTTAAAACCATTTCCAGTAGTGAGAGATTGGATAAGGTAGCTGAACTTTGATTGTTCGAATCCTGGTTAATTGGCTCCTTGTATAAGATTTATTAGGATGTAGCAAGAGTGGCGCAATGGTTTTCTCCATAATTCCTTTCCAGAACGCATTACTTTTCTTAGGTATAGCCCATATGTTCTTTACTATAATCAATGAATAGTAATTTTTAGCTTTGCAAAGCATGATATTTGTCCGAAAATTATATCACTGTTATTTTATTGATTTTCCTTCTCCTCTCCGTAAACCTTGTCTAACTAATATACGTTTTAAATTAATGCAATAGTCAATATTTCCACAAGCTCAGATTTTTTCTCTAATAAAAATGATATCGTAAATATTTAGCTTTAACATGTTGGCAATCCACTCTCGTACTCGGCTCGGTGAGCTAATTTTTTTTATTCTTATGAGTTGGTCAATTGTGCATTTTTTGCTTTAAGAATGATTGAATTATGTTGTTCCTATCTTCCGGTTAAGGTTTTTATGACTTTAGTTTAATCTGCATGCAATAGTTGTAGAATTATAAACAATTTAAAAGTTGTTAAGTGCGGCTAAGCCCTAATGTTTTTACCATAGCAGCCATATTTGTTTACATTTGAAACTTAGCTGAATAGTGAATTCAGTCAGTTTCTGCAATAGTCAGTCTGCATTTTCAGTGCCTTTTTGCCGATAGGGAAGAAAAGTAAATTTTGTGCTTCACTTCAGTTTTGTGAACCGAAAAATCTGCTTTCTTGCCCGCTGAAATTGATTTTTTTTTTTTTTTTTTTTTTTTTTTTTTTTTTGCGTAGATATTCTAATTTGAATTGTAAAAATTGGTTTTTAATTCTTTTAAACTGTATTTGGTAGCTTATATTTTTCAAAATTTATACAATTTTTAATAAAGGTATTTTGAGGTTTCATGTATTTTTCCTTTGTTATGAAGTGAGAACTATTACGAGCGAAGTGAGAACGATTAATTGAATGAGAAATATATCTCTAGAGAAATTCGAGGAAATAATTTTTTAAAAAATGCAGGGAAAAATGCGTTTAATTTAATATTCCGTACAAGGGAGTCATGTGATGTATAGATAAGATTTTGTATTTTGAGACGTGTTACAAATTTTGTGATGTTAGTTTCTTTTTTGCGTTTCTCTTTTTTTTTAATTTTTTCTAAGGATTTTCTTTCACACCTAATATTTTCGAAATGTAATAAGAACTTGGATAACATAATATTTCACAGTTAGTCAAAACATATATTAAGAAAAGAAACTCTCAGATAACATTAAACTGAATTTTTTCCCTCAGAGGTAACGGAAGTTAGATATTTGTCAAAGTTTCGAACTCCTTTAAATTTTATAA